CGCTACGTCGATCAAACAGAGGGCGGAGGGGTGTCTCAGTTGAGATCCACGAAGCCGGCGAGCGCAGCGACGACGACGATGGGCAAGATGGACACCCACAGAATGGTCTTCCCGGCAGCACGGCGTCCGGCCACATCGCCGGACACATAAAATCCAGCGGACGCCTCCACAAGCCCGAATATCACTATGGCAATGAGGATGCCGAAGTACAAATAGAAGGGCGCCCTGCCATGGTGAAGAAACAAACCTCCCGGTGTCCCGGAGATGATGAGGAAGAGCGCCGCCGCGGCTTGGACGACGCTGCACGAGACCAGAGCGCCGGGCAGCTTCTCCGCGTTGCGTAATGCGTCGGGGATTGAAGCCACCGTTCTGAAGAGGAAGGTGAGGAGCTCCATCGACTGCTTCTCTGGAAATGGGGTTTGGCTTGAAGCTCTGAGGTTGGAGATCGGTGCAGCTAGAAGAAGGAACGCATCTTTGTTATATACAGTAGTTGCCGGATGCTAAGTTGCGTGGAAAACCGCCCCGACAGGAGACGCGTTGGCCGTAGCCAGTGGGCACCCAGAGCAGAACCGAACCCGAGCAAATGCCAGGGTCAGAGGCTTCACAAACCCGAAAACCGAGAACCGAGAACCGATGATGATCCTCTAGTCTCTGTCACAGAACTAGGAACCGGGACCCACACATCGTTTTCTCGACGTGGCTGTTTCTAAGACTTCTGCTGACTCCATGTGATGTGTAAATAAGGATTTTTGGCAGCGGGGTGAAATCAGAGTTCTCCAAGTAGCTTGGTAAGGAAACACCTACCAGGATACGCGAGAGTCAAGCACTAGCACGCACACAAGCGGAATAATAGTAAACGACGGACACAGAGAAAGCTTCAATCATCTTGACTCTCTATCACAAAACCGAAAACCGAAGCCGAAGCAGAACCGACCCCCGGAGCCGAACAAATCGCTTTGGCCACGTGGTTGTGCTAGAAAGACTCGGCTCGATCCAGCTATAACCCCCCTTCGTGGTCGTGCCAGCAACTGCGCCAATCAGGTTTGAGAGGCATAACAAACAGAGTGCAGATTAGTGCCAAGTGTTCTTTAACTGATACAGTATAAAGGATAGGTCTGCAGTTATTTATTTTTATACAAATCCTCATGTTGCTTGCTTGGTTGATTATTATCCTGTGTTAACAGAACAAGAGAGGAAAGCGTGAAATGTGTGATGTGTGAAGCCCTGGGGTCCCCTGCTGTGATTGTCACAAATTCTTGTGAACAAGCACATGCACCCATCACGAACAGGGTAAAGAGGGCATAAAAGAGTGCACATTAGTGTTAAGCTAGGGGGCGGAGAGAATCGATCGTCTACGCATCGTCTACGCATCAGCTATAGGAAAGAGCCCCTCCCGAGCCGCCCCCGTGCGGCGGCTGAGAGGCCGCCAGATCCCGTCGCCCCCGACTCCCCCTCCCGTTCTCCTCTTCCCTCGCCGCCGCCCGAGGCCGCGGCCAGGCAAAGCCTTGCTAGCGGCGGGGACTAGGTGCCCTCCCGCTCGTGAGGAGCTGGCGCCGGCCCGTGCGCCCGGGCTGGAGCGTGGCTTGCGGCCGGACGTCATAGCGCGGGCTGGCGGCGCTCCGGCGGTCTCATACTCCATGGAAGGCGGCTTCAAGATCTGGGGCGCCACGGTCGCCAGGGACGGCGGCGGCGGCGCGGCCGGATCTGGGGCCAGGTGTGAGCTTGGTCTCCGGGTCACGGTTGGCGCAATGGCGAGTGTGACACGTCGGCAACTGGACGGATCTGCGGGATTCCATCCTTGTCTGGTCCTTGACAACTCGGGCAACTCCAGGGGAAACTCTAGATCTCCATGGGATCGAGCGATGGCGGTGCTTTTGCGTCGTAGTCCCTGTGGGAGTCCTGGATTAAGGGGTATCCGGACAGCCGGACTATATACATCGTCCGGACTATTGAAGCGTGAAGATACAAGACTCAAGACTTCGGCCCGTGTCCGGATGGGACTCTCCTTTGCGTGGAAGACAAGCTGAGCGATCCGGATATTGTGTTTCCTTCCTTGTAATCGACTCCATGTAAACCCTAGCCCTCTCCGGTGTCTATATAAACCGGAGAGGTTGGTCCTTAGAAGGCCGATCACAATTACAATCATACCATCATAGGCTAGCTCTTTAGGGTTTAGCCTCTATGATCTCGTGGTAGATCTACTCTTGTACTACTCATATCTTCAATATTAATCAAGCAGAAAGTAGGGTTTTACCTTCATCGAGAGGGCCCGAACCTGGGTAAACATTGTGTCCCTTGCTTCCTGTTACCATCAGCCTAGACGCACAGATCGGGACCCCCCACCGAGATCCGCCGGTTTTGACACCGACATTGGTGCTTTCATTGAGAGTTCCTCTGTGTCGTCGCTGCAGGGCTTGATGGCGTCTTCAATCGTCAACAACACGGTCCAGGGGGAGACTTTTCTCCCCGGACAGATCTTCGTGTTCGGTGGCTTCGCACTGCGGGCCAATTCGCTTGGCCATCTGGAGTAGATCGACAGCTACGCCCCTGGCCACCAGGTCAGGTTCGGAAACTTGAACTACACGGCGGATATTCGCGGAGACTTGATCTTCGATGGATTTGGGCCTGCGCCAGGAGCACCGAACAGTTACGATGGGCACGGCTTAGACCTGATGTCGGACGATGCTCGGGATATCACCCCTGCAATAGCCCCGGATCTAAATCCGGAGCAGGTTGCGTCACCTAAGGACGGAGGGGTGGACCCCGCCCTGCAGGCCGCACATTCATCGGCGGTGGAGCCGAACACAGGTCTCACCTCTGTGGAAGCCTGTAACCCCGGGCCCCCGGACTCGTATCCGGTTGTTGGTTCCGGTCCGCACACCCTCGAGCCAGCCGAGCCTGGTTGGGCTCCGGTAATGGAGTTTACCGCTGCGGACATCTCCCAGCACTCGCCCTTTGGCGACATGCTGAACTCATTAAAGTCTCTCTCTTTGTCAGGAGGCTCAGGGCCGAACTATGTCCGGCTTGAGCGGGAAGCAGGCGACGAAGGAATTCGCTGCCCACCCACCACCCACTTCATTGCCACGATCGATGATTTAACCGACGTGCTAGACTTCGACTCCGAAGACATCGACAGTATGGAGGACGATGCAGGAGAATTACAGGAGCCACCGCCTACAGGGCGGTGGACGGCCACCTCCTCATACGATATATACATGGTGGACACTCCGAAGGAAACCAATGGCGACGAGGCAATGGAGGATAACTCCTCAAGAGGAAAAGCAAAGCATGGGCGTCTTCGGCACCGCTCCAAGCCCCGCCACATCAACACCAGCCCCGGAGATGAAAGCAACCCGGATGGTGCCAAAGAGGAATATAGCCCTGATCAGCCTACCTTCAAGCAGGCTGGACCGGTCATGATGGGATGCTTGGAGAGGGACAACTATACACCCTCCTCCTCCGACGAGGTGAGCCTCGGCAATGACGAATTTGGCATGCCTGAAGATCCAGTGGAACAAGTTCGCTTCAAGCGACGGTTCATGGCCACGGCAAGGAGCCTGCAAAGGAAGCAAGAGCAGCTTAAAGCTGACCAAGACTTGCTCGTGGATAGGTGGACCAAGGTACTGACCACCGAAAAGTACGGACTCGACAGCCCCAACAAAGGGCATACACGGCACAACTGGCTACCTCAACCTAAGCAGGAGAACCCAAGGCACACACCCCGATGCCCACACATCATTACGGTCCAAGACAGTAAGAAGGATACACGAAGAGGCACCCTCAAGCCTCGGCGCAATGGTCATAAAC